ACGACTGCCTACTCAAACTCATGCTCCAGGTGTCGGGTGCCATGAAGTACTTGGAGGACAAGTGCTTTGTGCACCGGGATCTCGCCGCCCGTAACGTACTGCTAGTGAGCGAGAGGTTCGCCAAAGTCAGTGACTTCGGTATGTCGAGAGCCCTGTCCATCGGGAAGGACTACTATAAGGCGAGGTCGGCCTCCAAATGGCCGCTCAAATGGTACGCCCCGGAGTGTATCTACTACTATAAGTTCAGCTCCAAGTCCGATGTCTGGAGCTATGGGGTGACCCTCTGGGAGGTCATGTCCAGGGGTGAGATGCCATATCAGGTATGTGTATTATATAACTTGTTCACATTTTTCAAATGCTTTTTAAAAATAGTGGTCAAGTTTCTTATTATTTTTTTAGTGAAGTTATAATGAGCTGTATACAAATTTTTTTATATACAATTTTAGTTAAATAATTTTTATTTTAAAATGACCTTGGGCGACGAGTGGTTAATATGTAAAAATAAAATAATTGTGTCAGTAATTTTTATTATACTAAAATTGTATTAAAACTGATAATAAATATTTTAATAATTTATTTTAATAATTTATTTTAATAATTTATTTTTTTACACTAATTTGAATTGGTAATGAGACTTTAGACGATAAAATTGTATTTATTATTTTTAAAAATAAATTAATATTACATACAAGCTGTATATAATATATTTCTAAAACAAATATTTTATAATTAAAATTCTAGCAAAATGAATTGGATAGGTCGCAAAATTAATTGTTTTTGTAAAAATTATATTTTGCCCATGTAATATTTATAATAACTGTTTGATTTATTTAATATGTATAACAGGGTATGGATGGACAGGACATACTCCGGATGTTTAAAGAGTCCAAACGGCTGTCCAAACCGGACAAATGTCCAGTAATTATATACCAATTAATGTGGAATTGTTGGCACTTTAGGTATAAAAATATTGTCAAAAAATAAATTTCATTACAATTAACAACACATTTCTCACATCCATTGCCACAGACCTGAAGACCGGCTAAACTTCACCCAAATATGCGATCAATTGAGTCGTTATCTCCAGACTCGAGACAAAACTGAATGAAAAC